AAAAAAAAAAAAAAAAAAAAAAAGCACACCCCAGGAATAGAAAGGAATAAACGAGGAAGAGAAGACAACTTCTTTAAACTGATAAAAGGGCCTCAGTGAAAAACACCACAGTTAGCATACTTAATCATGAAAGACCATTTTCAACTAAGACCCGAAATAACATAAAGATCTCAGTTCTTGCCACTTCCGGTGCAACATTCTACTGTGGGAGCTAGCCGAAATAATTAGGCAGAAAAAGGTTGAATACATAACAGCTAATAGAGCACTCACGAGAAGGGAATTATTATCAAACAAACTTTGGAAAATGGATCTCTGGAGAAAAATAGTGTACAAACTCTCAGTTCAGTGGATATAAATTATCCAAACCAAAATCTGTAATTGTAAAATTTCGAGTAACGTGCATCACAGAGACTTGAATAGAACAGTTTCCAAGGAGGAAAAAATATGATCATTTATGAAGATTCACACACCGCAATGGCATTGAGTTTAAACATAAAAAAGGTAAATTCTGAAGGGAAATTTTTTGAAACTTGAAATTGATGAAGTATGGAGGTCAAAAAGATATTTTCAAATATGAAAAGTTTTAAATATTCTTTTCATGTATTCTTTCTCAGGAATTCAGTGGGAAGATGTGTTCTATTACAAAGGGGTGGGAAGGAGTCTGATAGAAGAGAGTGGTGAAGGTTACAAATAAGACAGCTATGGTAGGCAAAATGTCTTCCACAAAATCTCTACATCTTAGTCCCAAAATGGTCTTCACTGGTATAATTAAGGTAAGGTTCCAAAATAGGGAAATTATTTTGGATTACACAGATAGGCTCAATATAATCAACACGTGGAACACACAGGGAGAACATGAGCAGTTTCTAGAGGAAAAAATAGGTCACTTGGGTGAATTTCAGTGCTTTCGCTTTAGAGAATCAAACTTTTAGGTATACCAGGCTTATTACAAACGGACTTAAAGGAAGAAAGAGAAGACAAAAAATTTTGATGCTCTCTGATTAAGGAATTCCTTAATCATTATTTCCTATAAAGCCATAAAATAAAGCCAGAGTAAAAGGGTAAAAACAACAAATGCCCAGTTAAAATTGAATTTTAGATAAAACATGAATTTTTCTTAGAATAAAAATACTTATGCTAAAAAGTGTTTCATTGTTAGAAGTAAAAATTTAATTAGATATTTGTGTAGCAACGCTAAACAATATACCCTCTGTACAATGATTTTCAACCTTAGAAGTACGTTGGAATCCCCTAGAGTGCTTATAAAAGTTCCAATATCCTCATGCATTTCTTGGGTCCTCAGTGGAGTCTAATGAATAAGTTTGACAACCATAGGCCTAAAATAGAGTAAATTTCCACTTGCCTAGTAAATAACCTCTTCTGTCAGTTTACAGCCTGAAGTGAAGAAACATAGTTTTTTTTAAAATAAACATTAACAAATACTTTACTAAAGTCACAACTGAAGAGCCCGATTTTCACTATTTCAGGGAAAATATTTCACTTTTTGATGAAAAAAAGAGAAAAACAACTTTATGAAAAGAAGATGGGAAATAAGTACAGATTTGTTTTTACTATGGGTTATTGGCATATAAATATTTTCTAAAATTGTCTGCCATTTCCCCAGATGTAATGGGTAGCAGAACATTTAATAATCCCAAAACATTTATATCAATAATAATTGTACAGTCATTTGTCAATATCTGTGAGAGATTTGCTCCTGAACCCTTCAAGATAACAAAATCAGTGGATGCTCAATTTTCCTACATAAAATGGAGTAGTATTTGTATATATCCTTCTATATACATATACTTTAAATCATCTTTGATTACTTATAATGCCTAATTCAATATAAATAGTACTGTTTAGTAAATAATCTTCTTATAGTGTCAAATCTTCTTATAGTGTACTGTTTAGATAATCTTCATATCTTCAGGTCTTCATATCTTCTTTTTTTTTTTTTTTCTTGTTTTTTGTTATTTTTGGTTTTTTTCCGGTACCGGGAACCGAACTCACGACCTTGCGCTTGCCAGGCAGGCGCTGTGCCGCTGAGCTAAATCCCCAGCCCCCTTCATATCTTCTTGTAGTGTACTGTTTAGGGAATAATTACAAGAAAAAAAAACCCTTGCTATTAACTATAAACACATGTTTTATGATATAATTTCATCACAATTTCTTGGTTTAGGACCACAAGTTGCCCCAAATTATAGATGCAGAACCCATGTCTTTAGAGGGCCAAATGTATTCCTGAGGGTTGAGTTTCACTGACTTCTGGCTCCTGATATAATTTCCACTCAAGATTGAAATAAACAATACAAAGATTAAAACTTTGTCCCACAAATTCAAAATTGTGTGCCAAAATTAATGCTATTTTGAGTCCCCAGCAGGACACTTAAGTGATTTAGGGACAGCAGGAAGTTCCAAATAAAAGATTTGATTTAGTGTAATTGATGGGAATGAAATATACTTTTTCACTGACCTTTATAAGTTTGTAGTTAGGACAAATTCCTGCAACAAAAGACAGATTAACAAGAGAAAAACAAACAAGTTCATTAACAGCAGCAATGCACATCACACAAGAGAAAAAACAATTCAAGGCAGTAGCCCAGGAGTTTGCCTTAAATAGTTTCAGCAAACAACAGTGAATTTAAGGGACAGACAAAAGTACAGGTGGCCAAAGTATAAGAAGCTAAATTTATGGGAAGAATTTATGGGAAGAAAGTCTAGCAGATTTCTCTGGTGTTGATGATAAGCAGGTGCTGTAAATAAGAATGGAAATACTGTTTTCAGGGGAGGAGGAGGAAAGAAGGATAGAAAGGCCTTTGTCTCTGTGAATTTCTCACCCACTTTAGGGAAATAGAAGACAGAGGAGTCACCTGAATTTTTATCATCCTTGGCTTAACAATGCTTTATATTTGGAGGAGAAATAGTTTGACTTCTTTCAGCATCATTTGCACAGAGTTGACATTTGAAACTGTGAGATTACCACAGCAAAAGGAAAGACTCTAAAAAAATTCTAGGTTTAAAAGACATAGCAGAGGAAAACTTTTAAAAAACAAAGTTCCTAATAGATGGGTTAGAAAGGAAAGACTTTCTGTCAGAGTCTGAAGAACAAGTAGATAGTGTCTAATGCATTTCAGAGACAAAGATGGTTGAGAAAAGGCCACAGAATGTGCCACAGGGCAGCATAGAATAGCACAGATGTGGGTCTTTGAGGTGCCCTGGCTTGTGTCCCAACTCTCCACTCATAATTGTAAAACCTTAGCACAACTTTCTTAATCTCTCAGTACCTAGTTTCTTCATTTGTAAATATTACTGACATTATAGTTAATTACTACAGTAAAATTATAGTTATTGTGAAATTTTAATGATATTATCCAACTAAAGTACTTAAAAATGATATCTGATAGTAAGCAGTCAACATCAGCTATTATT